AGCACACCTGCAGCTCTGTGAAAGGGACAGCACTGAAAGCCCAGGGCTCGGCTCCCAGAGCTTCCCCACCTTTCCCTTTCAGGGATTAATCCATGATTCACCCCTGCAGCTGGAGAAGCTGCCTTTGATGTCAGCCCCAGGCAGGGCCAGAAGCTGCACATGAGGGCAGGTTGTTGCCCTGAAGCTCTCCCATGGGGCTCCAACATCCATGGCCATCCACAGCCATGTGGGAAAAGCCTCCACTGCGAGCACAGAATTCCTCTCTGAAGCACACTGGAAAATAGATGCAGTTTATTTCCCGTTGGCAAACTGAAACTATGGAGGAAAACTGTTTAATATAAAAACATCTGACAAAGCACCTCCAGGATGTATTTTTTTGCATCAAAGAAGTAGCTCTTGGCAACAGGCTCGTTCCTCCGACCAGGAGAGGTTTTAGCCAAACCCTGATTGTTCTAGACTGCACAGGGGAAGACAAGCCAGCAAACCTACAGTTAAATATCAAAGGAAAAAAGAAACCAAAACCATTACTGACCCAAATAAACATCTGTCTGTGATTAAACTGGATGCACAGATATGTTGTGTCTTTTTTTTTTATTTTTAAGGATTTCTTTCTGCAGGATTGGGGGGAGGAAGGGATGAAAAGGCTCCAGGGTGGTGCTGGGTCAGACCCAGCCCCCAGCCCAGAGCTGGAACTGAGACACAGCAAAGCCAGAATCCATCCTCAAATCCCAACATTTCCCCCCAGAAGAAACTGCTGCCCTACTAATGAGAAAAATACCCTTTTTTTTCTATTAACAGGTAATTCCAGAATCTCTCCCCCAGCCCGGAAAGGGCAATGTTTGCCCAGTTGCCACACACACATCCGCCTGACAGATTTAATGGGCTTTTTTTTTTTTTTTTCCTACTCCTAACACACAGGATCTTCATAAATTTCCTTGTTAGCATAAATCCTGAAGCCTGTTTTTTCTGGGGGGAGAGGAAGGGAGACGTTCACTTTCTCCATTCAGTGGGTTTTAAAATATGCTTCCTCAAGTTCATCCTAAATATTGCTGGAAGCAGAAAAAACCCTCTGGCTCTTGCCTGGAGCCGTGGCAGTGCCTCAGCAGGGCTGAGTCACCAGCTGGGGTGGATGTTCCTCCCTTTGCTGCTACAGGGACCCTGCTCCCCAAATCCAGTGCCCCCAGCACTGCCCTGCAAAAACCTCCCCATCTTCCCAGGCCTTAAAAAAATAAATAAATCAGAAATAATTTAAATAAGCTCCTGCCCATTCAGTTTGTTTCTTCTCTCTGTTAATTCCCAGCTTTCTTTCATCACTATCAGTCACCCAAGCAGAACTCATCCCCCACAAGGAGCCCAGCACCTCCTGGGCATCAGCAGAGCTGCTGGGAATAAACTCAGGCCTGTGCTTCCACTTCCAGGTGGGAAACACCTTCCTGCTGCTTTGGAGCACGGACAGGAATTCATCCCTCATCCCACAAACCACCAACTGAACATTTCTTCTTCAGGATGCACACTTTCAGCTACACACGGGCTCACCAGAGCTGAAACTCTTGGAGAGTTTTAGCACATAGGAAGTGATTTCAAAGTTTAAAAAGAACCAGAAACATCTATTTTTGGAAAAAATAAACCAGCATTTTCCCTGGGGATGGCCAAATCAGCACAGAGAGCTACAGGTGCAAAGCCACTTTTGCTGTCCCACCTGTCCTCCCCTCAGGACCTCCAATGGGCTATTCCATGGGTTTTAAGGAAAGGGCTGGTGAGGGAGAGCCCTGTGGGATTCAGAGGAAGGCAGGCAATCCCAAAGGCCACGGCAGCTGCTCCAGCACGTCCCCAGCACCCCAGCCCAGCGCTCCACACGCCTGGCAAGTCTAACGGGTACAGCAGCTTCCTGGCATGTGCTGGAGGAGCCAAGTCTGAGGGGAAGGGAAAAAAAAATTACTACAAATGTTCCACCAATTATGAGTCACGAGGCCGAGCTTTTGTTCCTGCCTTGCTGGATTTTGCCCTTTCCCTGGTATTTCCCCAGCTGCGGCTGGGAGCCGCGGTGACGCCAGGACTGGCCACGGCTCCGCCGGCTCCCGGGGGACAGACGGGCTCAGCCCAGGCCAGGGAACCACCTGGGTTTAAAATATCCCTCCCCAAACAGCAGGTTTGCTCCAGCTCTGCTCCCCAGCAGGAATGAATCTAAGGAGGAGAAGATGGAGCCCCTCCTGTGCTCTCATGAGCCTGAACGTGGCGCTGCTCGAGCTCAGGAGGAAATTTCAGCATCGGACACCTCCAAGCGCCTTTTCCCACCAACCCAGATCTTCCCAGGCCATTGCACCTCCCTGGGAAAACAGGAGCATCCCCATTCCAAGGGAAAAGCTGTGGCTGGACACTGATCCTTGGACAGCTTTGTTCCAAGGCCCAAATGCTTTGAGCACGAGATGAAGAGGGCTCTGGGGTATCATCCATGGATCCAGGTCATATCCACCAAACTACCCACAACTTGTGCTTCCAGTTAGCACTGACTGCTCCTCTGAACCTCACAGTCAGCCTGACACTTCTCTGAAGGCTTTCCCTCTTTTTAAGGGCAATACTATAGCCATGAAAGGTTCTACTTCAAAAAGAGCTGGTTTTTGGTTTTTTTTAAAATTTACACATACGACAGAGATCATCTTTTGCCTTCATGCTAAAGCCTCCTGTTTAGAAGTTCATCAAGCAAAGGAGCAAGAGGAGAAGAATGGTTCTCTTTGTTACACAAAATTGAATTTTGTGGTTTTAGTAGGAAAAGCCTTTTGATGATCAAAGCTGGACCAATAAATAGCAGTGGCTTGACGCTAGACCCAAAATGTACTTATTTTTGGAAGACGAGTTAAATGCACACTGAGCTCCCTCGGTACACAAGAGGGGGCAGGGAGGACCATGTGCTTTGTGTATCACTCCCACAGGCCTACACTTCAAGCAGAGCCATTAAATGAGTTGAAACGGAGAATAAACAAACTGAAACGTGGCAGGTAGACTGGAGCCTAAGTGGGTTTTTCCCTTGTACTTCCCTGTGATGACATGTATGGGTTAACTTCAGCAGGGCTCTTATCCTCTTTCAGCAATCCTGAGCACTGGGGAAAAATAAATCACCCAGCCCCAGACTCTTATTAAAAGTTACACCATTGGAAACGGCACAGGGGGAGAGGAGGGATCCGGTTTCAGCACAATCTCGGTCACATGTTATCATTATATTGTTCAAGGAAAAGTTAAAATCTCTCTTCTCTTCCAGCAAACCCACCAGATGTCCCATAAAGACTGAGCCATGAGAGAAACTGAACCATTACATCCTCAGGAATCCCACTTTTCCAACTTGGCTGCTGGAATTAATGCCAATTATCAAGTTACAACAAAAGCCACTGGCACCGGGAGCTTTAGGGATGCACATCCGGCCCTAGGAACGTTTGTTAGGAATCACAAACACATTTATCAGAGCACAAGGCTGAATGATCTGAGTTCTGCCATCAATTGTTCCCTTGCTCTGGACACTTGGCAGCACGAGAAGAGCCCGTGGGCCGGCACACGCCAGACCCGGCACGCGGCAACCACGGCCGGCACCACAGGGGCACCTGGAAGGACCAGGAGGAGGGAAAATTCCCAGAGGGAAATGTGCCACCGTGCCATGATACAGCCCCTGTGCTGTTTGAACACCCTAACTGTGTGTTTTGATTGGCCTAAACATCCTGAGGAATGCCCAAGTCTCACCAAAGTTCTCACTGAACTGACCGTGAACTCTTGCAGGGAAAGAAAATGAAGAGAAAAGCCACGAGCAAGGGACCAGTACCCCAAACGTCCCAAATGTCCCCTCCCTTGACTCTCAGCATCCCCCCAAGCGAGCAGCAGGTTCCATCCACGTGCTCAGCAATCCAGCAATGCAGCTCAGGTGTCCAAGCCCCATCCCAGCCGCCAAAGGAGGCACGTGGGGCTCCACCAAAACCCACCTTTGTCTGCCTTCATCCCAGTTCTCAGACCATGAACCAGGCAAAGAAATTAAACCTGCTCCTACAGCCAGGCCCCTCCTGTCCCACACAGTGAGCCCCCAGCCCAGGATGAGACACCGAGGAGGAAGATGTGGAATGATGGAGACAGCGAGGAGGAAGATGTGGAATGATGGAGACAGCGAGGAGGAAGATGTGGAATGATGGAGACAGCGAGGAGGAAGATGTGGAATGATCGCTGCAGCCAGAGCCCCTTGCTGAGCCAAGGAAAGCCCCAGCTCTACCTGCTGTCAGCTAAAACCACCCCAGGCCTTGCAGAGCCCCATTAAAATGAATGAAAGGTTGCAGGGTGGGGCAGAGCAAAAACCAGGACCTAATTAAGCCAAGCTTTGTTCGGGATCTTCAATGGCTCCCTAGCTGGGAGCCTGCTCATGAAAGCAGGGATTGCAGCCTGGGGCAGGGGCCCAACAGGTAACACCAGCCTGACGGACCCGGCAAGAACCATCCCAGAGCCCTGCAACAGCCTCACTGTCCCTGCCATGGAAACACTGCCCAGGGCCCTGAACAGCCTCACTGTCCCTGCCATGGAAACACTGCCCAGAGCCCTGCAACAGCTCACTGTCCCTGCCATGGAAACACTGCCCAGAGCCCTGAACAGCCCTGAACAGCCTCACTGTCCCTGCCATGGATACACTGCCCCCAGCCCTGCAACAACTCACTGTCCCTGCCATGGAAACAGTGCCCAGAGCCCTGCAACAACTCACTGTCCCTGCCATGGAAACACTGCCCAGAGCCAGCCCCACAGCCTGGGATGGCTCCAGGTGGCCTCCACACAGGACACACGTGGCCCTGTGGCCACCTCCCAAAGCTCCCTGCCCATCCCACCAACAGCATCTTAGCACAGCACGGGATTCTTTAAAAACCAGCTCAAGTGACTGCTCTTTTTGTCCCTCTCCTCACACCCAGACACAAACCAAGAGCAGGACCAGCACCCCCGTCCCCTCCTGCTGTCCTGCCCCACCACCAAAAGCTGCCAACCTGAGAAATCTCCGGGCGTGACGTTGGGAGAGTTTGTAGCCTCTGTTTCAGTGTAAGACAACGTGGAATCTGATAGATCTAGGGGGAAAAAAAAAAATAAAAATAAATAAAAGAAAGCACTTTTAGTCCTGCTGCATTTGCCAGCGCTACGTGAGCACCCCTGGCTGCTCCACTTCCCACCACCTCCCCGAGAGAAACTCTCCACAGAGCCAGAAAGCAGCGATTAACTTTGTAGCTCCACCACGCAAATGCAAAGTTTGAATTGCCTCGACCACAAAAATAACTCCAGTTAAGTTGATCAAACAAGTAGGAACTTGGTGCTTACTGGATAAAGTTACATTAAGCCTCTAAACAAGTCAGAGTTACTATACTTAATTATCACCATTAAAATTCTTGAAGCTGTTTATTCTTGCTTCCTTCCTTCCTCTTTGCTGAAGCGAAGGAAACTTTGTTTTAACAAGTTAAGAGTCTTTGTTATTCTCTTTTGCTTACACCCCTCTAATTAAGTGCTCAACTGTTTGCTCACAGATTAACTATTATTTTTCCAATCAAACAAGCCAGTGAAGCAAATTTCAACCCCTGGCTGTTGTTTTAATAAAGTCACGTGTCGCTCACTATCATCTCTCCCTGCAGCACAAGCAGATTTTAAAGGGAATTAACTTGCAAGGGGGAGCACAGGGAGAGACAACTCCTTTATTTTATTTTTTTGCCTCCACACCTAACAAAAAAAAAGGAAAAAAAGAAAAGAAAGCCCCCAGCAGCCAGCTTGGCCTTGCAGGATGCTCTGGTCACAGCCCTGCGGTGATGAAGGGTGCACACATGGCTGAGGCTGCTGCAGCTCCCAGGCCTGGCAGGGCAGGGATTCACCTCTGGCAGGGGCAGCTCCTGCCTTCCCCCAGGGCTGGGTGGGACAGGCAGGCACTGCTGCCCCCTCCTAGCCCTGCCAAACCCCATCTGTCTCCTCCCTGCCCCATGGGAGCAAAAGCAGCTCCCCCTGGTCGTTAACCCCAGTAAATCACTGAGCAGGGGATAAAGGGAGAAAGCCCCAGCTGCACCGATCCCAGCAAGAAATCCAAGAGGGATGTGGGATTCCTCCCTTCCCTCCAACACTGCCATGTCTTTGGCTCCCCATTTAACTGAGCAAGAAGCAGGGCTGAGAAAGGATGGTGAGGATGCAGCTGAAAACATCTGCAGGCTGCCATGCAGCACACAGGACCAGGCTGCTGGGCTCTCCAGCACCCTGCACTCCACCCCAAAGCTGCTTTCACCAGCTCTGCCTGGAAAACCTTCCATAATTCCCCAGGAAAAGTGACACCCCGCTCAGAAACGACACAGAGTTTCAAAGCCTTTCCATCTGTTTGTGAAGAGCAGGGGAAGGGTGAGAGCTGGTTCCTGCATGGAGCAGCACAGCCAGGCCTTTATGGAAATGGCACCCAGGAGCTCCCATCCCGCAGATTACACACGCAGACAAAACACGGCGGCTGGCAACCTTTCATTACGCCTTCATTAAAAATAGAGCTTCGTATTATTTTGGAAAATATGCATGTGTCTACACGGTAATTTGGTAGGATAAACTGGCATCCATTTACTTCTTAAAAGCCGTCAGCTGATGCTTGCTCAGAAATAATGAGCAGCCATAAAAGCCCGACTTGTTGGTTTTTGCCTGATGTGCCAGGTAGGGCTGTCTCAGAAGCAGCAGCACCATGAAAGGAGAACCCCAGAGATCAAAAGAGACAAAACACGTACCCAGTGGCTTTTGCTCATCATTAGGAGACAGCCGAGAGTAGGGAGGTGGTGGAGACTCTGGAGAAACAAAAGTTCAGGTTAGTGCTGTGTTCCGTGTACCAACAAACCCTCTCACTTTCCCTTCTGGGGTAGGAGCTCTTCCAAGGTTATAAACACTGGAAAACAAAACACTTGGAAGCAACTGGAGACCAAGGTTTTCCTAATTTTTGAAGAATGGGAGTTCCACCTCCAACTTTCAAAGTGGGTTTTGCTACTGGAAATGCTGCACACCCCTCTGGCCCACATCTGTGCGTGGACACCCAGGGACTGGGTCACACAAAACATCAAATTGCTCCCCAGGAACCACATTTACATCATCTGCTTTGGGAGACAACCTTCCATCCCAGACTCCAACACACAGGGTGCTCCCCAAACACTTCACAAGTATTCAAAAGGAGTGATAAAAAGGCTCCTCTTGGCACACAGGGCTGGCACCAGAGCCAGGCTGGCTCCAGACACCAAGTCATGCAAGGAACTTTGCTCCATCCCAGAAGGCCTTGGAACAGAAGCAGCTCAGGAGCAGAGGCCACCGTGATCCCCCTCACCCTGAATCCATCCCACAAAGCTCCCAGCTGGGCTTTAAGCAGCCATGTGCTCCAAGTTCAGCAAGAGCCCAGAGGTGCTTGGCTGAATCAGGTCACCCAACCAGCTCTCGCTGTTTTTGGAAGGGTCAAGAGCAGGAGGAAGGTGGATGAAGGTCCTTCATCATCTCCAGGCCCTGATTAGAGGCATTTCTTTCCCCCTTCCATAACACGACAGTGATTTCTCTTGTAACTTGCCAAAAGCGAGGGTGCAGCCAGCTGGGCTCTATCAGCACCGAGCTCAGTGACAAATTCACTGTCAAGTCCATCAGTGGCACCACACTGACCCCAGAGAAGGGAAACACCGCAGTGCCCCTCAGCTCCCCCCGAGTTCATCAAAAACAAGCTCAGCATCCCCTGTGTGCCGGCTCTGGGGTCAGCCACTGCTTCTCAGAAAAGCCTCTCCATCTCCCCTAAGGGAGCAGGGTGCTCTTAAATCAAAAAAAAATAAAAAAAATTAAAATAAAGGTGCTGATGTCCCCATGTGGATGTAACAGCTGGACCTGGCTGTGCTGCTCCCTCAGCAGGGATTGGTTCCAAGCAGCCCTCACAAACGGGGTGGGAAGAGCAGCAGGATGATCCCTGCAGGGAGCCACTTGTGGAAAAGGGCACCAAGGCCTTCTCCTGGCTCCTGGCACCAGCGCGGGCGGGGTCCTGGCACAGTCACCCCTTATCAAAGTGATAAGGAGCCACTTGATAACAGCTCTGCTTTCTACTACTCCCAGCACAGGGCTGGCAGCCGCTCACCGCTGGGAAAAGGAAAGGGACTGGGAAACTTCTCCCGTTTCCAAAAGAAATGTCCCGTTCCTGAAAACGCAGCTCAACTCCATCTGGAATAAAAAAGCTGCCTCCAGCCTCTAGCGACCTTCGGGAGAAGCACGCCCAGAAGAGAAGTTTCTTTGAAAGAAGTGATGCAAAGCGAGGCAGGAGCCCAGATTGCAAAAGAAATAATAAAATCCAAGTTCTTGCCAAAAAAAGGGACAGTCAGCATAGAACCACAGGATGGTTTGGGCTGGAAGGGACCTTAAAAATCAACTCCTTCATGGGCAGGGACACCGTCCACTGTCCCAGGCTGCTCCAAGCCCCATCCAGCCTGGCCTTGGGCACTGCCAGGGATCCAGGGACAGCCCCAGCTGCTCTGGGCACCCTGTGCCAGGCCCCCAGTGCCCTCCCAGGGAACAATTCCTGCCCAAAATCCCGTCTAACCCTGCCCTCTGGCAGTGGGAATCCAGCTGGCCAGTTCCATTACACTTTTTGTACAATATCATCTCGATTTCTGCACCTCAAACTCCAACGCGTCTCTGCTCCATGGAACTATTCCCCGCTGACACAGACGCACGATCAAGTATTGCTCAAAAAACCCTCAAGAAAACCAAACCCAAGCTTTGCAAACGCTCACCTCTTCCCACGGTAAAAAAAAAAAAAAAAAGAAAAAAAAAAAGAGAATTCCCCGAGAAGCGCAGGAGGAGCCCCAGATGTCCTGGCGGGTGCGGGGACATCCCCGCAGCCCCCCCGAAGCGCCTGCGGCTTTAAGCGGGCGGCGGTGACCGCCCGGCCCCGATACGAGCGAGCCAGGCTGGCGCCAGCGGGATGGAGCCGCCGATTATCGCCCCTGCGGCTCCCGGAGAGCGGGGAAACTCCGCGGGAAGGGAAAAAAAAACAATAAAGAGAAAAGGCTTTTTACGCACAAGTGGAAGCGCTGGTTCCGAGAGAGGGGGGGGATGCCCGGAGGGGACCCCGGACCAGGCGCGTCCCCCCGGGCATCCCCGCAACGCCGGGGCAGCGCTGCCCGCGAGGGCTCGGATGAAGGCAGGAAGGGGTCAGAAACCCCGAACCCCCAAATCGGGGGGTGTTTGTGGCCGGGGGGACCCAACGCGCCGCCGCTCACCTGGCCCACAGAGGCGGCTGAAGTGGTAGGGGTTGCAGCAGACCGTGGGT